TCTAATATTTCAATATTATTAAATTCTGAGAAAGATTGTTCTAGTGACAAGCATCTCAACTTTATAATATTAATAATAATTCACTTTTATTGAATGCTTATGAAACCTTTTGCATGCAAAGGTTATGAAACAGGTTCTATTAGCATTGTCGCTTTACATATGAGGAAACTAGTGCATGGAAAAGCTAGAAAAGTCTCCATGGGTCAGACATCCACTAATTGACCAGATTGGGGTACAAACAAATTAATTTAACTCCAGTGAGGTACCCTTTAATAACCTTATATTGTTATCCCTTTGATAATCTATTATTCTATTTCTACACATTTAAAATTGAGTTTGATTATCCTCCAAGACTTAACAAAGCTGTACTTTTAATACTTTACTCTTGATGGACAGAGCTTAGTGTGACCTTAGAGCAGGCTGAACTACAGAGAGAGCAGACCGCTGCCCCTCCCTACCTTTCCACAGTTAGGTGATCCCAGAGACCCCGGATCAGATAAGCAAGACACATCTAAGATAGAGCTAATTTATTGCACAAGTGTGCATCACCTATAAAAATAATTGGGAATATAAAACGTGTTATTTATAAATAAAAAAACAAATTCACATTTATCAACCTTTCTGGAATTTTCCAAGAAGAAAAATGACAGGTGCAATCATTTTTACTGATGCAATATCCTCAGACTTTATTAACATATATTTTGAAACAGCAATGTGCAAATCAATGAAATTTGTAGAGAATAATGAATGGGTAAAAATGAGGAATAAAAAATTTTGTAAACGCTTATTATAACAAGATCATTTTTATGATGTTCTGAATAAACTCTGAATAGAAATAAAAATATTTACCAGTAATATAACTTCACAAAATTAAACACTCTAATAACAAATAAGCCCACGAATAAGGTCCCAGTCTTCTCTTCAAAATAGGGATAAAAATAAAAGATTTGACTGCATTCATCTATATTGCATAGAATACAATTTGCAGACCTACCTTCAGCAGAGGAAACCAGCAGATGATAATTTCTTTCAATTTATAATGGAATCTGGAACACAGAGAGCATCTCCCAAAGGAAATATCCAGGTAATTATGAAAGGAATAATGATTACAATTCTAGAAACATCTCAGGAGTAGGAGAAGCTAAGGGGTGCTAATTGGAAGAATAATTATTTTAATAAAATTAAGAAATACAAATTCTTGATATCATGGTATAATCTCTCACCTTCATGTTGGTTCTGCCCTCCTTCATTGACACTTGGCAATTATGCATGTTAGAAAAACATTCTTGTCATACAGCATGCAAAATTTTAGGCAGTCACTTTCTTTTCTGTTGTATTACAATTCTAATAAACATCATGTGTCAGGATACATGATCACAGCAACTCATGCTCTATGCATCTCATGTTGTTCATTTCTGTTTTTGTTTTATTTGTTTACAGGTACCAGATGCATCAGAAGTTTAGATCACTTGGAAATATTTAGGAAGAATGAGTGCAAGTAAAGGTCTTGGTGATGTAGTCGATTGTAAAGCAATTTGACTTCATGGAGTTTAAACTTTTCTTAAAGTCAGTAAAGCATCAACTTTGAAGTTAGACATATCAGGAATCACACCTTGGCTCTACCACTGTAACTACATGACCTTGGAAAAGTAACAATTCTGAGCCTCAGTACTTATCTGTATAATAGAGAAACTACTATCCTACTGTGTGACTCAATGATCTCAGATGACATAGGGAAAGCTCTCAGAACACTGCCTGTCTCATGTGACACACTCAAAAAACTGAAGTTAGGCAGACCCACCTCTAAACACTTTACAAGTGTGATATCACCACCTCTATAGCTGTGACTAATATCCATATGTTGAAAATAAAAATATGCATATGGAAAGTAGCTATGAGATTGTTTTTCTACCAAGTTTAGATAAGTAGCAAGTTAAAGATCCAGAATTCTACCCTAGCTTGTTCATAAACTCTAAACTGTATAACAGCTCAATTTAATCTGAAAAATTATGGACATAATTGTGCTCAGGCAAGGTTTTTTTCTGAATCCTCATTTCCCAAGTACCCAGAATTCCTGAGTTCCTCATAATTTATTATGGAGAAAATACATCAGATGAACTTTCCAGCACCAGGTTATTATGATTTATTATGTACTCTTTCAAGAAAATGCAGCTTTGCAAAGAAGTAAATAGTGTGTATGTGTGTGTGTTAGAGGCAGAGAGAGCACGAAAGAGTAACAAAGAGGTAAATACACTTTGTGTTGGAGATGCTCAAATAAAACAAAGTTTATAAATGCAGAAATTAGTGTAACAATAAAATCTATTTTAAAAAGCATTTTACAGACTGCTAGTTGACGGGAAGTTAAGGGGTGGAGGGATTGAACAAAAAGGAAAAAGGGCTCATGGACATGGACAACAGAGTGGTGATTGCTGGGGGGAGGGGGCTATAAGGAGACTAAATGTTAATGGAAAAAATATATATAAAGATTATATAAATAAAGAAATATCCTGAATTTTCAGCTGTCAAAATTTCTTTAAGTTCTGCCAACTCATGAAAACTATGAACCAGAAGAGACATTGGAGATAACAGACTACAACCTAAAAATTAGCTAGATGAATAACAAACGTTGAATATTCCAAGGTCACCCACAAATTAATATTTTAAAGTTTCAGTGATTTAATTATTGTATCTTTCTCCCTCTGTTTTTTTAAACTTTATTTTTATTGTTGACACTATTAGAAATGTCTCCATTTTCCTCCCCTTTGCCCACTTCGAAGCAGCCTCCACGTGTCCCCCTCCCTAAGGCAATCCCCACACTCTTGATTAATTTAAAATGAGGAACACAATTTAACCACTGACCTTGGGTTACATGATTATTTTCATGTAACATTAAAGGAATTCCCCCAAAAAGTCATTTGGGAAAACATTTCACCTGTGAAAAGCAGAAGTAACAAAGATTATCCAAATTTACCTGCTAACAGATTACAAATTCTAAAATGCTGTAAAATTACACTGTGAAATATATTATAACATGGCATACCAACAGTTCTATAATAAATGATTTTAATTTCAAAAGAAAGTACTTTTAACACACTCCAAAAGTAATGTTAATTTGGATCTTAAATTCTTTAGGGAGTTTAAGGTTTGTAACTAGAGACACAGTAATATTACAATTTAATCTAAAACAGCCATTTGTTTACATGTAAATAACTTTAAAGAGCTGCCCATAATATATGTGTGTATATGTGGAAATGAGTTCATATGCATTTTGTGTTTCCCTTGGGAAAAATAAAAACTCAAAAACAGACAAGGAAAACATTTGTCCTCATATTGCATCAATATAATTTTATATTTATACCTTTGCAGATAAATCTGCAATTACTTAAACATATACTTTAAATCTGTGAATTACATCTCTGTAGTTATGTATTGTCTACATCAAAACATCAAGTTATTTATAAATGCCCATCAGTAGATGATTGGATCAAAAAATTATGGTACATTTACACAATGGAATACTACGCAGCAGAAAGAAAAAAAGAACTACTAAACTTCGTGACAGCATGGATGGAACTGGAGAGCATTATGCTAAGCGAAATAAGCCAGGGGGTGAAAGACAAATACCATATGATCTCAACCTCTAAGTGGAACCTAACCAACAATACAAAGATGCAAGGAAAATAAGACCAACAACACTGAAAGGAAAAGAAACCAACAGAGATAAGAGGGAAGGGCGGGGAGGGGGAAAAGGAAGGGAAGGGGAAAGTCAAGGAACATATAGCAAGGACTCGTGGACAAAACCAAAGGGGAAGAGCTGAGGGAGGGAAGGAGGGAGGGGGCAAGGGAAAGTGGTGGGGGGTAGGCAGAGACAAATGCATATGAAAAAATAAATAAAGTTGAGGAAAAAAACATCAGGTTATTTATTTAGTTATCTGAGGACAAAGAGCACTTAAGAAAGTCTTAGTTGTAAAATTTTGTGCTGGTAATTCGTGAAATGAGATACAAGAGAGATATCAAAGCATGTTAATATTATCATGACAGGTCAGGTTATTGTTAATAAGAGAGAACAGCCTAAATATTTTATTTCTTTCAAATACAAAAATATTTTAAAGTATTTAAGTACTGTATCATCACAAATGTACATAACATTTCACATGGACATCATTTTACTTTTTTTTTTATTTTATTTTAATTTATTTTTTCAAATACATTCCCCTTCATGTTCCCCTTCCCTTCCTTGTCCCCACCCCACCTCCTTCCCTCTTGTCTCTGTTGATTTCTGAACATCATTTTAATTTGTTAAGTGGAATCTGGAGCACTGAGCTTTCAAAATGGCATCTCCATCCACTAACTCCACCTACTCTTTATTCAGACTGAACACTCTTGGCAGGGGCATGAGAGACATGCACAGTGTGGTGCTTGACAACTTTGGGGTTGAATTATGGAAGTTACTAGAATCTGTAAAAGAGAGACATCATGTTGTGTCTCTTAAAAGCCACAACATTGAAAAGGGATTAAATACAATAGGATTGTTATTTTAAAGTAGTTGTTGCTGAACAGACCTGTCCTGCACATTGAAAAAGGCATTTAACATCATGGAATCTCACAGCCTTTAGTGAGACCATTTTATGTCTTCATTCATGTCAAAATTAAATAAAATATATTATTTTCTGCCCCAATTAACTCTCTAAATAAGCAAATTGGTATTTCCCAAATTCATCTACTTCATTTTTAATAAGATAAACAAAATCTGTTCATTCTAGCTAAGTATTTGAACAATTTCAATTAGTGTGCTTTGAATTTTTGATTAGCTAATGTTTGAAGTTTGAGTTACCCTCACTCCTTACATCAAAAGAAATGGGTCCATCTTTGAATTTGAGTCTTTCTTCTTTTCTTTTCAATGCACAGCCTTTATCTTTTATAAAAGGTCTTTAGCTATGTACTGAGCCAAAATCTGCTGACAAATATAACATAGGGGATGAAATTAACTCAACTTTATTCTAATTTTTGACATATATTCTGCTCATCACTTTGTTCATGGCCTCTTTCACATCCTTGTTCTTCAGACTGTAGATCATGGGGTTCAGCATGGGGATCACTGTGGTGTAAAACACAGCTACCATTTTGCTCTGTTCCACGGACTCCTCTGTGGGACGTCTCAGATGCATGCAGAAGAGGGTTCCATAGAAAATTATGAGCACTGTCAGGTGAGAGCCACATGTGGAAAAAGCTTTCTTTCTTCCTTCTGCAGAATGGCTTCTAAGGATAGCGACAAGGATGAACATGTAGGATGTGAGAATGATCAGGAGGGACTGGACATTGCTGTAGCCAGCGACTATGTACATTGATAACTCTTTGCTGTAGGTGTCAGAACATGCCAGTTTGATAAGAGGAGGATCAGCACAGTAGAAATGATTAATTTCATTAGCGCCACAGAAAGAGAGGTTGTAGGTCCTCAAGGTCTCCATCACACTAAGGAGGAAGCCATAGACATAAGGGACAATGACCAGGTGAACACAGACTTGCTTGGACATCTTGCTACTGTAGAGCAGTGGATTGCAGATGGCCATGTAGCGGTCATAGGCCATGACAGCCAGCATGCCGTGCTCTGTGAGGACCACAGCAATGACAATATAGCATTGCACCAAACAACCTATATATGAGATGGTCTCCTCCGATAAGAAATTTTCTAGCATTTTGGGAGTGACACTTGTGGAGAAACACAGGTCTAAAACAGACAAACTTGAGAGAAAAAAGTACATGGGAGTGTGAAGTCAAGAATCAATTTTAATTAAAACAATCATGCCCAAGTTTCCTATCACAGTGACTATGTAGACCACGAGGAACAACACAAAGAAAGGAACTTGCAACTCTGGACAACTTGTTAAGCCCAAGAGAATAAATTCTGTCACTTCAGTATAGTTTCTTCTGGACATTTCTTTGTTTCATATGAAAGGCATTTGTTTGATTATCTAAGAAGAGATATAAAAGGTTTTTAATCACTGAGTACTGTATCAGGTTACATATTGTAAAAAGATCCAAAAGGCCTTAGTTATGTTATCTCAGGGGTATTTCCATAATTAGGTATGAACATATATACCATAAAGCAAGTTAAATTTTCAACAAATGATTTTCATTCAGGTTGCATTTGTAATCACACTACACAGTTAAGTTGGAGGCTAAAGATAAAATTATAAATTTAAGTACCTCAATACTTTGGGAAATTAAAAAATCTAACTTATCTGTCAAAAAATATTGTAATATAAATTTAGAAATGCTCAGAAATTTTGTCTGCATTCTTTCTTATATCCACACTGAAAGTTAGTAAGCACCTTGAAAATAACACATGTAAAGTTCACTCTGAACACTAAGAAAATGAGTTGTAAGGAGATAAGTTGATGGATATCAGACTTTCATCTCGTATTTCCTAGTTCAATGACTTACTGATGTATTATATATCTCACCAAGTACAAACTTACTAACAAATTTTCATATAACAAAACTGAAGTTTAAATTGAAGCATAAATTGAAGTTTGTATCTAACCATAATTTTCTATGGGACAGTTTTGACATTAGCAAATGTCCTTATCAGAAAACTTGTCAGAGGCTGTGTAAAACTTCTCAGACCCTATGAAGAGACTCAGAACATCAACGTGAGTAGTACTTCATTTTTCACCTTCCCTAAGAGTACAAGTGAAACTGATAGAACTGGTTCACCTGTGTTTGAAGGTATAGAAAAGCAACAACAATAACAATTGCCAAGTTCTTATACTCAATGCACCATATTAAAGCACTTTGTATGTATTATTTTATTTGATGTCATATATTACCATTTTACAGTGAAGAAATACAGATAGTTTCCTGAATCTTTGATTTAAAATCTTCTTAGTTATTAAATAGTATGAGGTCTTTCAATAATTGTACCCACCTTCTTAACATTAAATTTTATAGTTCATAAAATTCTTTGTCACTTTATAAAATCTTGCAAGCCATTTGATTATTTTTGTTTAAATGCGTATATCAAGTAATTATTGGGCACGTTTCAAGTTCCAAACATGGTACTGGATACTAGAAGTAAGATGGTGGACAAGAAAGAGGCAGTAGGTTCAAGGTGAGTACTCACATTCAGAAAATTTAACACAGTGATCCTAGCTTACAGCTCATAAGTGGAAGAACCAGCAAAGGAATCAGATATTATAATTCCCAGCTTAGCGTTCTTCCTCTTTAACATGCTACTTCCCTGGAGAGTTCATCACTTCCTGTCTGTCAGCTGAATGGACTGCTTGGGGAAAGATAATAATTGTTGATAAAAATTTTAAAATTCAATTTATTTAATATTATTGCTTCTTATCCTAAACCAATGATTGCACTGCAAGCTACTGGAAAAAAACAAATATGAATAAAATAGGATCTTAAACTAGAATTGGCTCTTTTTTTTTTTTTTTTTGAAGTATAGATGATAGGGACACATGAAACATGCTAACAAAAATAACAGATGGGAAACAGAAGAAAGGCAGACAGTCAAAGTATCAGTGCCCTCACTTAAAACAGGAGGAAATTTGTGCCAAGAATCTAGGTTCGTGTGTAGGTATTGTGATTCAATTGGCAAGAGGGAAGCCAAGAGCTTTTGATTTGAATTCTCTGCCCATGAGCAAGTTCTCCAGTTCAAGATCTAGATTATAGCACTGACTTAATACCTAAGAACTTTGCAATTTTGCTCAGATCTCACTGGTTATAGACACATCATTTTTAGTGGAAACTATTATCATTAACCATATTTTAATTCTAGAATTGTGGGGTTATGGCAGAGACAACTAATACAAAAACACAGTCCATGGGAGACCTAGCAGACTGCTGTAAAACATCATAAAACACAGCAGACACTCCCATGTAGTTAGCAACTGTGATGATGAGTCAAGTGACTGCATGTAGAACCTGACAAAACAGAGAATCCTTCTCATTAATTGTTGTAAGGTCTTTGAGACTTAGTTCATTTCTCTGAGTATAATCAGACTGACTCATATTTCGAGTATCTGGGTTGGAAAAAAAAAGATATGCTGAAAAAGAATTCCCTTGGAATACAAACACGGGCTGTGGGGGGGCGGGGGAGGGGAAGACATGACCTAGACAGAAACAGGATATTGGAAAAGAATTCAAAATCTTATAAATAAGGGAACCATAGAGAACTTAGAGATCTTTTAGTCTAAACCTCATAGCTGCATACACAGAAGCTAACTTTGTATGTTTAGTGTTTACAAGAAAAGGCTTATTTGAACTTACACTTTACTTCTGAGAAGTCAGAAACGTTTTAAACCATTAACAAACTACATGGGCCTAAAGTTTTTTTTAATTGTTTTTTTCTTGTGGAAATTGATGACAGTAGACACCCAGACACTGAGGAAAACACGAAAAGAATATTATTTGAAACGAATATTACTGAAACAGCTGTTGGAGATCCATAGTACCAAATTCTACCAGGATGATTCAAAAACACTGGTAACATAAAGAGAAATGCAGAACTGAGTAAGCACCTATAGATTTTCTCTCATTAACAATGCACTGTGTGCAAATTTCCCATGAAACTACCTATTTTAACACATGGATATCTAAAAAGTATGCCATTTAAATAAGTGAATACATAAATTGCTAGACATTGAAAACTAAGAAGTGAACACATTTCCTCTCCTACCTGTAAAAATATGAGTGTCTTCTTAGTGACCACAAAGGTCAAATTCTTGCCAGTACTATAGGATTTATACCCAACTTATTGACATCCACATTTATCTCAGGAGAATCCTCAACTGTTTCAAGAAGCAATTAAAAATGAAATCCCAGTGGGCAGGATTTTCATGAGGAGAAGTACTAATTGGTAGTACTATACTTTCTCAATTCCATATTGCATATTTCATTGAAATTTAAACCATTTGCCTGCTATGAATAGTAGTGAAATATTTAGACAATTATTTAGAGGATAGCCAAATTTGCAATCTTCTGGGGACACAATTTATCATGAAACTGAATTCAGGTAATTGCCTTCATACTTCAGTTTCTCTAACTTACTTCCTATGTTGTTTGTCCTTTAACTCACACAAAATATGTACTTAGTGGAAAGTTCAATGCTGTTTACTCTTCAGAATACAAATATGAAAAATATATTCTTCCTCTCAAGGAGTCTGCACATTTATAGGATACTTAAGTAAATAATACTAGGTATGAATGATGAGTTTCCAGAAGAAAAACACATGGAATGTGAGACTGATAACTACCAATTACAATGGCATAGACAACAATCAACAAGTGTATGTTAATTATATGAAGGACTACATTTAATTTACAGTTTCTATCATGCCTCCAGTGTTTGGAAAAGTTTCCTAAAAGTGAGTCCAAAATTGAACTTGGAGCATAATTGCCTCACAATGTAGTTTGAAAGTTATCTTACAAATAATATTTGATATTCACAATAATCTCATGAAATGAGTGTCACTAATCATGGTTTATGGTTGAATAAAGTGATCCCACAGGGTAGCTATTCTAAGCTTACCCAACTCAAATGTAAATAATAAAATGAGATTTAGAATCAGACCTAAATAAATCCAAAATCAGTCCTTTGCCCACCATATCATTATGTCTCAATGTGAAGAGATATTTTTTGTTTGTTTGTTTTTTCAGCAACAAGGGGTTGAAGTGAATATTTTAACAGGTGGCATGAATCTTGAGATGGATGGAAATGAAAAAGAATCACACAAAATTCTACATTTCTTTTGTGAGTTGACAGTGGGTTCTATTCCACATCTCCTCATTCAAGAAGCTGTGCTTAAATGTTAAATCTTAAATCTTGCTGGTCACCATGGGAAAAAAAAAATACCCACTGAAGGTTTCTCTCACCAATAATTATATGCTCCACTGAGAAGTGACACATATGAATTTTAATCTGTCTCATTGCTCAGAAATAACCACACACACCTAAACCCAAAAGAGAAGTATAAATGCTATCATGTATGCAAAAGGTAAAAAAAAATTTAAACTAGCGAACAAAATGAATAACAAGTACAAACATATAACCTTTTATAATAAAAGTTTTACTTTTTGTGTTTGAATTTTTAAAAAATCATTAAAGTTTTAAAAATGCAGTGTTCAGCTTTGGGTGGTGGGCTCAGTGGATTGAGTACCGGCCTATAAACCAGAGGATTGCCAGTTCGATTCCCAGTCAGGGCATATGTCTGGGTAACGGGCCAGGTCCCAAGTGGTGGGCACATGAGAGGCAACCACATATTGTTGTTTCTTTCCCTCTCTCCTTCCCTTCCCCTCTCTAACAATAAACAAATAAAATCTTTTAAAAAATAAATAAATATGCAATGTTCACGAGATTGTATAAGTGAAATCATATGGTACTTGTCTTTCTCTGAATGATTTATTTCACATAGCATAACACTTTCCAGATCTATCCATGCTGTATTAAAAGGTATGATTTTTTTTTTTTATAGCCAAGTAGTACTTCATTGTGTAAATGTACCACAGCGTTTTTATCTACTCATCTACTGGTGAGCTCTTGGGCTGCTTCAAATCTTGGCTGTTGTAAATAGCACTGCAATGATCATGGGGGGCATATATTCTTTTGAATTAGTGTTTTGGGTTTCTCTGGATATATTCCTGGAAGTAGAATGGCTGGGTCATAAACAGTTTCATTTTTTTATTTTTTTGAGTTAACTCCATACTGCTTCACACAGTGGCTGCATCCATCTGCATTCCCATGAAGAGTATGTGAGGGTTTCCTGTTTTCCACATTCTCACTAGCACTCATTTGTTGATTTATTGATGGTAGCCATTCTGAGAGGTGTGAGGGGATATCTCATTTTGGTTTTAATTTACTTTTCTCTGATGATTAGTGACGTTAAGCATCCTTTCACTTGTCTGTTGTCCATCTGTATGTCCCCTTTGGAAAAATGTCTATTCAGATTCTTTGGCCATTTCTTATTTGGACTGCTTGGTTTTTTGGTGTTGAGTTGTATAAGTTTCTTACACACTTTAGATATTAAGCCCTTATCACATATGTTGACAAATATTTCCTTCCTGTTGACTGAGACCCAGAGCTAAGAAAAGACAGAGGGTTGTCTTTTCATTTTGTTGACAGTTTCCCTTGCCTTGCAAAAAACTTTTTAGTTTGATATATCCCCACTTATATGTGGGATCTAATGAACAAAATAAACTAACAAACAAAACAGAAGCATACTCATAGATACAGCAAACAGACTGACAGCTATCAGAGGTGAGGGGGATTGGGGATTAGGTAAAAATAAGTGAAGGGATTAAGCAAAGAAAAAGACTCATAGACACTGACAACAGTGAGGTGATTACAGAGATTAATGGGGGTAGAAGGAGGTAGAAGAGGATAAAGGGGGGTAAGTGGCGATGGAAGGAGACATGACTTCAGGTGGTGATCATGTAATATTGTATAATATACTTATGATGTGTTATAGAATTATATCCCTGAAACCTATATAATTTTATTAACCAATGCTACCCCAATAAATTTAATAAAAAATAAAATATAAATAAAAGTAAACAAATACATAAAAAATTGTAGTGTTTTTTATTGGTGTACCACATTTCTCACCTTACCATAAATTTTGTCCTCTAATTTAGAAAAAAGGTCTAGAAAACATTTTGAAACCAAAAGAATACTGATGTCTTCTAGGGAAATATGTTTTTCCTTAACAGCTCTCTGGCAAATGCTTCCTTCACATCTTTATTTCTAAGGCTATAAATCATGGGGTTTAACATGGGGATTACTGAGGTATAAAATACAGCCACCATTTTCCCCTGTTCCACAGATTCCTTTGAAGGGGGTCTAAGATACATGAAGAAGAGTGTTGCATAGAATATAATAACAACTGTCAGGTGAGAGCCACAAGTAGAGAAAGCTTTGCGCCTGCTTTCTGTGGAACGAATTCTCAAGATAGCAGGAAAAATATAAAGATAAGAAATCAGGATGATGAGGAGAGAAAAGGAAAGGTTACATCCAGCCACAACAAACATTGATGTTTCTTTGTTGGTGGTGTCAGAGCAAGCCAGCTTAATCAGGGGTGGGTCAGCACAGTAGAAGTGATTAATCTCATTGGAGCCACAGAAGGCCAGGCTGTAGGTCCACATGGTCTCCATCAGCCCAGTGAGTGCTCCATACACATAAGGCACTGTGATGAGGGACATGCACATGCTCTTGGACATTTTAATGTCATAAAGCAGAGGGTTGCAGATGGCCATGTACCGATCAAAGGCCATCACAGCCAGGATATAGATTTCCACGTGGACCAAGGCTATAAAAAGGTAACACTGCATCAGACAAGCAGAATAGGAAATGGTGGTCTTCTCGGACAAGAAAATCTCCAGCATCTTTGGGGTCACATTGGAGGAGAAGCACAGATCCACAAAAGATAAGTGGCTCAGGAAAAAGTACATGGGTGTGTGGAGCCGGACATTGACCTGGATGAGTACAATCATGCCCAGGTTCGCAGCCACTGTGGCCACGTAAATAGCCAGAAACAGCAGGAAGAGGAGAATCTGCAGTTCCAGGTGATCGGTCAGTCCGAGTAGAATGAACTCAGTCACTGAGGTGAAGTTTCTTCTCATAGCTTTCTTCAAAGGGAAGTGAGAACTTTGGATAAGTTCAGAAATTTTTTAAATGGAAAAGAAATTAATATTTTCTTAAGACATTACTTTGTTCCTTTTTTCTCTGCATTTTTTTCCTTTCTTTTCTATGACTATTTCTCCCCTAGAGACACTAGACATAGTTTAATTAAAACAGGATCTAATTAAATGTTACCAAACCCATTCAAAGTAGCTCTGGGTCTCAGTCAACAGTTAGCTTCAATTTTATTTTATTTTTTTGCTAACTGACCTTTTATTTCTCTTTATTTATGTGATTTTTTGGTGCTTGCCACACATTCCTACCCATATCCTTTCCTACTTTGTCTGTTTTCAGCTTTTTACTTAACCCTACATTAATTTTTTTTATCCTAGATTTTGCTACTCAGTGGCAATAAACAAATACCACTTATCTAAATAAATTTACCAGACAACTTAACAGAAAACTTAATTAGAAATTGAGAACCTTGTACCAGAAGTTCTTTTCCTGATAACAATTCTTTCTTTCTGGTCATACCAGAGAATATCCCTTAGGTTTTTTTGTCAATCAGCACTGAGTGATAAATTTAATTCATTCTTTGTAGGCTATGAAAAGTCAGTACTTCCTATTTTAGACTGACAAGATGCTATTTGAGGAAGAAACTGAAAAAAGAAAAATCTTTAAAAATTGAACAATTGTAAATCTTTTATCATGGAGAGGAATCAATATAAAATACAGGGAAACTTTCAGAAATTCTTTTAACATTTTCCCAATATTCAATAAAGCTTGGAGAAGCTAATTTTTCAGTCCATCAGACCTGAATTAGACCTTAGAAATGACTTAGTCCAGCATATTCGTCTCTACTTGTGAAAACAGATTAAAGAGCAAAGTGCTCATACCAACCACTGGGAAATGACAAGGCCTGTGCTAGAGCCTCCCCCAAGCACTTGTTTCGTGGATCCAGAGCTAGTCTTTATAAGGCAACACTTAAAAAAAAAAAACAAAAAAAACGGCAAAACCATAGTAAACAACAAAAAAAAAATAGCCAAAAAATTCCCTTTCCTTTGCTTACCCTCAAACTAGATTTGCTACAACCAAAGAGTAAGTTCTAGCCAAGAAAAGGGAATGGAATAGTGTGATTTTGCACAACATGCACAGTATTTTCTATCCTTTTATACCAGAGGCTTGCTCTCTCCTTCCCCTGCTCTGCTTCCCACAGCTATAATATAGGTGTAGTGCTGAGTCTCCCTGGATCCTGTGGATGAGATGGCAGAGAAATGAGTTAATAAGCTGAAGCTCCTAAAATTGTGACAACACTGAAATAATATACCACTTCAGAGTTGTATACAAATGAGAATTGAACTCTAAATTGCTTAACTATTATTTTATTTTACTCTTGCATGAATTAAAATTATTTTTCAATTAATAACAAATCTCTAGGATCAGTATTCAAGACACTATAAGGCTGATTTTTATGTAAGATAAAATTATATGCAGTGATAATTATTATTTTGAATTTAATTACTCTGTCATAGGTTATGCCCAAGGACCGTGCTGTTACTTAAAAATTGTGATGATCATACCTAGAAAACCCCACTGTTCACCTTTTGAGACATTTTAAAGTTGCCTTAAACTTCCTATTCATTTATTCCATGTCATTTAGAAATCCAAAATCACAAACACACACGTACACATTGCAATTCTATGGAATGTAGCTGGAAGATAGCATTTGTTGCAAAAGAATAAAATAATTAAATTTAAATATTGAGCATATGTATTTTTTAAATTCCCCTCCTGTATCTTAACCACAGAGGATTTTTTTTTCCACGGGCTGCTTTACAGTACTTAATCCCCAGCATTATAACATCTTTGGTTTGTCTTATTTCTCCCCCCTTCTTTTTCTAACCTCTACTCTTCTTTCCTGAAATGACTTCAAATATGCCTTATTTTTCTCTACATATTATTCTGAGCATCTCACCTTTTTCTTCACTGTGTGTGCATGTGGGTAGTGGAGTGTCCCACTATCTTCTTCTCAACTCTTACAAGAGAACAAGGAAATATGTTGTACCTGTCTATGTGCCCACGCCCTAGTCTTAGATCTTACCTTCTTTAATGATGCTCTACCAAGGCATATTTGTGCTTTCCAAAACTTTTTTAAAAAAATTATTTTGTGCTAAAATGCGTCTGGTATCCTGAATACTAGAGTTCATCTCACAAAATCAACCATGAGTTTTGGAACTAAGCTGATTTGATTTGAAAAATTATGACTGTACTGCATATTAGCTCTACAATTGTAGACAACGTAACCTTTATGAGCCTCTGTGTTCTCATTTGGAAAACTTTGCAACAATGGTTTCCTCTAAGAATTTTAAAAGTTATAATGTATGTAACTAACTGACCACGTGTGAAACATATAAGGCCATCACAAGAAATATTTTGCTTCTATTTCTCCTTTGTTTAACATTTAGAAGAAATAAAAATTCTTGAATTATGAACATTTGTACTTCTCTTATAATCAACCCTAATTATTTCTATGCAGTTGTTTATTCTATCCATACACTTATTCTTATCAAATAAGAAATTAATTCCAAGTATAAATAATAACACCGTTGCTAGTTCTTCACACCAAATAGACAGCCATACCTATAAAGAAGTGAGAAAAGCAATGAGCCTTCAAAAATAATAAGTGAGGAAAATCAGTACTTATATTCATTTATAAGATTGATTCCTTTTCCCTATGGCATTTTAAAAACAACAAAATTAAGCAATCAGTTCTGCCAATTAAAGTTCCCTGAAGATAGCTCAGGGAATTTTCACATGGAAGTTAAGAATGACTTAATGCATCTCTTTTGTGTTTTCTTCCTCATCTCTCTTGGTAGTGACTGCCTACTGCTTGCCACGCATTTCTGGGCACTGTTCTTTTTGCTACCTTCATTACCCAGCAGAAGGAGCTGCATTCTAAAGAAAGTTATTCATGTTGCTTGGCCATCAAGGCAGCAAGAACATATTCTACCACATAGTGTCGTTGCACTGATCATTGATTCATTTGGGAAATAAAGGAGTATATTTAGCCCCTTTTCCCTTTTGCTTGTTTTATATTGTTTCACTTTTAGAATAGTCCAAGTGCAAATGAAAGAAACTGAAGAAACCTAAAATATGCACACAATTTATTATGTTTTCCTAGGCCATAATGTATCTTGTACAAGTATAACTGTTGAATTTTTTTAGTGGTTAAGTGTTTTTGATACAGTTGATTAATAAAGTAACTACACATACTGTATTCATAAAACAATTTTTTAAAAAACACTTCAGCTGTTCTTCATAAGCCTTATGGTAAAATAGTTGTGAATGTTTCTCCATTAATAAACATTACTCTTGATAGGTAGTGGGTATATGTTAAAACACATTAAAAACCTCCAGTACCTTGCCTTTGACAGACCTCAATAACTTTGTATTGAGCGGAGCTAAATTAACATGTGATCACAAACATTAAGATTTTTATATACGTATTTATTTTTAGAGAGGGGAAGAGAGGGAGAAAGAGAGGGAGAGACACATTAATGTGTGCTTGCCCCTCATGCACCCCCTGCTGGGGACCTGGCCTGCAACCCAGGTATGTGCCCTGACTGGGAATTGAACTGGTGACACTTTGGTTCACAGGCCGGCCCTCAATCCACTGAGCCACATCAGCCAGGGCATATTAAGATATTTTTCAGTTGAGATGTAAAGTAAGAGGAAACTTGTTACCAGAATGGTCTTACCCAGGTTAATCAGGCTGCTTTTAGGTCATTAAATAGAGCAAGTCTTCTAAGAAAAAAGCCATTTTATTATAATACATCTTCCAACCCAAGACCATCATGATAAATAATGATTATATATATTTCAATTCCTTAATCAGTTGGCAGTTGGGAGAACTGTGTGAGGTCCCAAGGTACCTACTGTGAAGAAGACTGAGGTATCATTGTACTATGTACAGTGTTTCTTGTATCTTGTATCTTCTTCAGTAAATGTCTCTACTTTTCATATTACATGGCTGTATACCCTCTGGACAGACCTTGCTCTTGCTTTCAAACATTTTATTTGACCTTGTGGCATTTACGCTATTATGGGGAACACAGGCATTAATTAAATAAACACACCTATAAGGATATTATATCCAAAGAGTGCTAAATGTAATAATAGAAAAATATAGAAAGCTATGAAAGGATACTAAGTCGCAAGTAGGTGACATGATTTTCTAGTTAATAATAAAAATAAGTTAATTTTTATTGAGTGAATACTAAGTATCAGGCATTGTGCTCAGCACTTTATATGTGTTAAATCGTTTCTGCTACACAGCCTTCTTGTGAGAAAGTACTATATGATGATCTTATAGAGGAGAAACTGAGGCAGAGAGGTTCAGTAAATCAGATTCCAGAGTTCATTCATTTAACTATTAATTTAGCTGATAAATGGTGAAGTCATAACCTAACTACAAAGCTTACTTTATTGAACAAGTTGAATTAGTCCATACATTATAAAATAGGATGTTTTCTCATACTGGATTATATAATTCAGTGTGCATACAGCTGTCAAATGTATGATCAACATTTTTTACAAGACAGAAATAATAGTTTTATTCATTTCGTGGTGTTTTTTTCATCAACAAAATATAGTGAAAAGGTATGTTATAGTAGGAAAATAAAAAACATTTGAAGTTAGGCACATTTGGACTTTCCTTTTGATTTTAGGTTAATAATTACTCTGTGAGTCTCTGCTAATCTTTAAATAGGGGACTATGGTACTGAAATCAGTATTGGTTGCCACATTACGTGAAACAACATATAGTAAGGCAGGACTTGGACCCTGGTAATAAGCATTATTATTATTTCTCTCTCTCTTTCATGTATGTATGACTGAGAGTCTAAACATATTTCAGATATCTTCTGTTCCCAGGAAATTATATAATATGTGAATTAAAATATTATACTTATTGCATTACCATTTCCTGCAACATTTGTTTATT